GGAAAACCTGCTACAGGTATATATACGTCCACGACACCATCGATGAATCTCATGGCTATGGTGAATACACGTTTGTTAGGTCGAAATGATGATGTTAATTTAGGTAATTATATTAGACATAGGTTGAAATTCGATAGGCAGCAAACGAAGAACACTTCAACTCTTTGACCACTAAAGGAAAATCAAAATAAACAGATAAATCGAATAATATTCTTTTACTTAGGGCTAATTTTTATGTTAAATATTGAATAAGAATATTCTACTTAATAGAGTAAATGAAACAAAAAAAACCTTCTTCAAAATTTTTTTTTCAAATAATCACTATTCCGTTTTTGTTATAGATGCAGGACAACTTCCATTATTCATACGATTCGAAAATGCTGGTAATACTTGTTGGTTTAATAGTATATTTCAAATGTTGTTAGCATCTGGTCATATAATTGAAAGAATACGCAAATTTCATATCATTGATGATGATTTAGTACCGTGTAAAGTTATGGTTTTAAGTGGAATATTAAACGTATTCATATCTAAATCAATCAATTGTCACACTGATGGAAGAAAGGCTATTGTAAATAAAAGTTTTATTATTGATCAGTTTAGATATCTGCGTTGGGCTGGCTTTGATATTGAAACCTATAAACAATTTTGTGTGTTTGATTTCTTTCAAATAGCAATCATACCGATGCTGTTATTCTATGATATTGATTTTCAATATGTATTAGATAAATCTATGCAATGTTCTTCCTGTAAAAAAATAATTTCAGTTACTCAACAAACATGGGACTATTTTCTCGTACAACAAACAGCAAATGAAGAGACTATTGATAATATTATGGCTGATCTATTTGGTCCAATATTGGAGATGCAGTTATGCCTTAACTGTTTAACAAATGATCTTCATCCTACATTAATGTCTATATTAAATTGTCCAAAACATCTTTTTCTTCGATTTGATCCATTCGTGACCAAATATCGAAAACGTCCTAAATTAACAACACATGTAGATTTTGCAAAAAATTTATCAAATAATGTTATATGGACTCGTTCATATTCACGTTATACATTACAATCATTTATTGTGTTCAATGGTACAGATGATAATGGACATTATATGACATATGCTCGATCCAAACAAGACTGGTATTGTCTCAATGATACAAATATTACACTAGTCAAATCATCAAGTATTTTTGAAGATCAAGCTAAAGATCAACCGGTTATGATGGCTCACTTTACTCGACCATCTGAACTTGACGTATTTTCATCGGCATTATGGAACGTTTTCACAAAATTTTCACCAATAAATATATCATTAACACCACATTTATCATTGAATGATGCTGCGAATTATTTTTCAAAACATCATCTCATTGAAAATAATCCACTCAACTTAGTGGTTATTAAATTTTTCAATTGTTCAAGTTGTAAAACAGGTAAAATACAAATATAAGTTGGTTATATGTTTCTTTTATGATTCTATTTATACAAAAAGAAAAATCTTGGAAAGTATACAATTATCACGTTCTACTTGATATTTAAATATGTTTGAAGTGCTGTCTTATGAGATCAGGAGAAAAAATTTTTGTTCCGATTATTTTGATACGAATGTGTTTCAAAAGGTATAATTGATTCTTATATAAATAAGGCTAGTTTTATAATTATTTTATCGAAAATAATATTAATATGAAGATTATTTATTTTGTTTTTTTTTTATTTAAGAAACTTTTACTATTGCTCGAATGCATGAAGTTTGGCAAATGAAAAATGATGCATCACATGTTACTCATAAAAGGAATTCTTTTATGTACGAAGAAATCAAATGTTCGTCTTGTAAAACATCAGGATTGACTAATTTTGTTTTATATGATATACCACAATTTCTTCTATTGAAAACTGACAGTGCTGGTACAGATTGTATAAGTTTAATTGATGATATAAATCAAATTCGTATCCAACCATCTGATACGCATTTACCATTCCACTATCATGTGCAAGAAGTCTTAATTGTACTTGAAGAAGATGATATAGTTTATCTAAGAAAGACTACGAATGGTTATTCATCTTTGAATAAAACTACTGGCCAATTTGAAGAATTGCGTAATGTATCAGCATGTGAAACAGGTCAAGCATCACTTTGGACAATATTCGTTTATGAAACTGATGAAAATGTCTTCTATCCACCAATAATCGATAAAATAACTTTCGATCAAAGTACTTTAGCAGATGGTATAGAACCAGATATATGGACTCTCGATACTGTTCAAGATCTTTTACCAACATTTACTGATATTTTAAGAGTCGGTTCTATACAAATCAAAAAAAAAGATGATATAAAACTATTGCTCGATAATGACGGTGATATTAATGATTTGATTATAGATGGTCATTTATTTATTACTGCAACTACAGCAACATTTCACAAACGAGTTCTAGCGATGGAAACCCATACAGTATCTGAAATAATTCAGAAGAAAGTAAAACACATTAAAAAATCATGGTTTGATTACGATATTATTCTCTGTCCGATCAATCAAAAACATCATTGGTATCTAGTAATAATTGATCTGGAAAGAAATTTAATAATTCAATATGACTCATTACCTACACATGATATTCCACGGCGACAAAACCTACAACGTCTCATACATATGATAAACATTCACAATTTTTTAAAGAATGGAAGTGATATAGATTTTCAAACTGGTTGGAAATTATCTGAACCAAGTGAAGATTTCGACTTACATCAAAACGATCAACATTCATGTGGTGTCTATCTTTTAACACAAGCTAAAGCATATATTAATCGGGAACAACATCAACCTATTCCACAAGATGAAATCACTCTATATAGACATCAAATAGCGGAAGATATACTTCGGAAAGCAGAACCAATATCCGATGATAGTATATCAGACGTAAGTAACAAGTAATTTCCGCATATCATATAACTTGATTTGAATTCTGTTCAATAGATATCCGACATAGACATCCCCAACACTAAACAACGCATCAAAAAAACAACCACAAAAAACAGCAACAAAAGCAAAACAAAAACAAAATTGAATACAAACAGACACTTTTTTTTTATACATGAACAAAATAGATAAAACGAAGGGATTCAACAAAATAATAAAACCGAACCTCGCACAATATACAATTTTTTCCATTCCACTCCAAAACAGACACGCAGCTGTGAAAATCATCTTTCTTTCTAACGCATTTAACCACCGATTGTCCCTCTATGAGTTACAAATTCTTATGGAGATTAAATATCTAAATTGAGTTATGTCTTCTTTCTCTTTTTTAGATCGAATCTAAACTCCTGAAAATCGACCGTACACACTAAGATAAAATGTGTCGCATGTGTCGTACTTTGCGACACAATGTACGACACATAAATATGCGACACGAGGAGCTCGTTGCGACACATTTCTTCCAGCGGACGTACGACACATTCTTGTGCGACACATGCGACACATTTTTAACACGTGGTTCGAATTCATTTTTCGGCACGAGAATTATTTTTTTTTAATTCAAATAGTTGCTATTTTTTCAGTTAATTTCAAATAATAGCACCTATTCTTGGTTTTCAAGAAGGTAGATCTTAAGATCTAGCTGTCTCGAGACCATTTGATCTCGATCAGACTACTTCGAGGCAGTCCATTCTCGATCATCTAGCGACCTCTCGGCATGTTGTCGAATAATAAATGGTCCAAAAATCGTCTAGAAAAAAAAAGACATAGGAAAATGTATAAGTCAAGGATGTCCAATAGGCTCGGTTATATGCAGCGGCACTCGCGAAAGAAAACGGTGAATGAACGATTGATATATAGGCTATGACACATCTATACTGCGACACATTTTTGTACGACACATTTTTATAATGGAGTCTGCGACACATTCTTGTACGACACATATATACGACACATTTTATTTTAGTGTGTAATCTGTGGACTGAGTACACTAAGCTGTACCTAACCTGGTTTCCTCCTTTGATAGAGTGTTCGAAAACCGATTCACTCCAAGGTGAACAGATCTTCTTGTAGGGAATTTATTTCTCTATCGAATGATGTATTCTGTCTCTCCCAGCAATCGAGATTGAGTCCGTCGTAATGCGGCACAATATGTGAAGTGACGATGTGACTCATATGAGTCGGATCCTTTTTTCCACTCAAGCCCCTGTTGAAAATCGATTCTCTCAGTGTCGAACAGATCATCTTGTAGAGAATTTAATTCTCTATCGAATGATGTATTCTGTCTCTCCCGGCAATGGAAATTGAGCTCACAGGGGTCGATCTAAGTGTCAGAATTGACTATCATTTAGATGTGTGAGTTCTTTTTTTCGACTATGTATGAGTATTTTGCACGGGTATACGGGTTTTCCGGTTTCCTTTTTTTTTTATTCGGTTGCTAAGGAAATTTGTGCTGGTATATTATGGATCGTTAGTGGTAAAGTATGGACGGATTTTGATTGGTCGGCTTGGAGATCGATTTTGATTGGTGTTCGTGCTAGCTTCACATCGATTGTAGAGAAGATGTGCTATTATAACTTTATATTGTAACAATATCGTTTTTTTGAAAAGAAAGAGATTCAACTTGTGTTCAAATATCCATCATATATATGGAAGTTCGAAACGATTTCATAGTTAGTGTTTTACAAATAAGGTTTCTGACAGAAATATATTTCTAAACTTATTTTCATCTAAATATCAACATACATAATTCATTATCTTCGTTATATCCATATGAAAAATAAAAATGTAAAAACTTGTATCAAAAGTCGCTCATTCATTCACTAACATAAATTTACAATAATCTTGTCGTCGATTTTTAATATTGATCTAAACATTTCATTGCGACGATTTCGAATATGTTCTTCATAGTAAAACATGTCAATTTCCAATTGAGAATCAATCTTAATTATGATCTATCTTGTCGAAATCTTGACATCAATCGATCTGTTTTCATAATGGTCGTATATATTGAAATAAAAAAGTATTGAATTTCATTTACTTTATTTTATTCTAATAATAAGCATTCGATTTCTGATTTAATCGATAGTCAAAAATATAGTATATATGAACAAAAAACACAAGAAAAAAAAAAGCTGAATTTGAATTAAAGTATACATTAATTATAAACATGGAATTTTAATATAAAATTGTAATGAGCAACAAGAAAAAATTTTAATATCTAAATCAAAAATTGATTTAGTAGATTTTATATTTATTATTCAATAGCGCCAC